CTGACAATAGGGTCAGCTAAAAATCAGACTCTAGATCAGCAGGTTTCCCTTTATGCATCTTGAATATGTCATCCTATCACCATCTCTGGCTTCCACTGTTTCTGCAAGAAAATCAGCCAGTTATCTTACTGGATTACCTATGAGTGTGATAAGCTGTCTTTCTCTTGTTGCTTTTGGTTTTCCCTTTGTCTTTTGATATTTTTTACTGTGATGAGCCTATGTATGTGTGTGTGTGTGTGTGTGTGTGTGTGTGTGTGTGTGTGTATCTTACAGTTCATTAAGCTTCTTGAATGTAGAATTTACTTTTAAAGTCAAATCTGGGGAAAGGCTTTTAAGCTGTTATTTCTTCAAATATATTTTCTGCTCATCTCTCTTTTCCATGTGATGCACTTAGTGGTACTCCGTGGTCTTGGAGATTGTGTTCATACTTCTTCATTATTCTTCTCTATGTTCTTTAAGACTTCTCATCTCTCTAGAACTATATTCAAATTCACCAATTTCCATCTCTGCAAAACCAAATTTACTGTTGAGCATCCCCAGTGAATTTTTATATTTCAGTTATTGTAACTTTCAACTCCAGAATTTCTATGTGTCTTTTTAATGGTTTCTATCTCTACCAATAGTTCACAGTGGTAATTAAATTGTCAATATGACTTCTTTTACTTTTTTAAGTCCAGATTTTCATTGTTGCTATTTGAAATAAGGTTTCTGTACATAGCCTTGGTTGGTCTGGAACTCACTATGTAGACCAGGCTGGTCTCGCCTGCCTCTGCCTCTTGAGTGCTTAGATTAAAGGCAAACACTACCATGCCCAATCCAAGCACAGGTTAAGAACTAATTCTTTGAACATATATCTGATGGCTGCATTGATGACTGACCATGAAATCTGACATCCTGTTCCTCTCATAGGCAGTTTCTGTTGTTTTCTCTCCAACCCTAGGTATAGTTTATATTTTTTGTTTCTGTACATTTCTCATGCATCTGTTACTGCAAGCAGGACATTTAGATACAGTCAGGGAGAAAGAAATTGGGAATTCTGGGAAAATCCAGCAGCAGTTGGAAGTACAGGCTCCAGCCACACTTGCCATGGGGCTCATTGTTGCTAAATAACTGTCTGGACTGCTTTGGGGTAGGCTTTTTGCCCTGCTGTGTGAAGCCTCTGGTGGTATTCCTCAGCACAGCCTTGACTGTGGTCATTTTCCTTGATGACAGTGGTCTTGGTAAGAATCTTTGCCCCTTTACCTGATCACACCTAATGATTCAGTGTCACTAAATTTGATAATTGTTCTATTGTTACTGTTTTGTTGTTGTTTTTGAGGTGTAAATTGCTCCAAATCTTACCACAAAGGGAGTTAGTTGTTACAGTGTTTGTTCTAACAGTAGCCATCAGGAGGGCTCTCCTGACATGCTTCTTTGCCTCCTTCTCTGTGGTAACTGCTGGCCTAAGATTTATCTTTTAGGAAGCTGGTGGCCTTTTGTTTACCTCAAAGCTCATTGATTTTTAGACTGCCCTTAGACTTGAACTTACCTATACTCTGCTTCAAACAAAGTTAATTCCTTTGAAGAGAACTTCAGAACTCTTTGTGTAAAGTTTACCTTTATCCCCAGACAAAGTCAGTCACTGGGTGAGCTACAGTGCTGAAGCCAGGGCAGGCAGAGTAATCTGCTTCCTCTACAGTGAAATTTTACTCTAGGTAGGGCTCTGCAGTGAAAGTAATCTCCAGCCTTCCCAGCTTGCCTATACTAGAATTAAGAATCCATCCTAAAGTGAAGCTGAAAATGCATGACTTCCTCCTTTCTGGAATTACCATAGTAATTAACATAGTCATTCCACGAACTGGGGGAGATGAGAACTATGTACTCTTGGGTATTCCTGCCTGGGACGGTAGGATGTTAAACTGATCTGACAGCAGAAAGAGGTCGGGGCATAATTCAAATGCTGCAGATTCAATATTTCTCTCCCATTTCAGTAAGCTTTCTTGAGTAAGCATCCCATCATCTTCTGTATGTCCTTAGGTCAATACCAAGAGAATTCAGGACTGAAGTGGGTATAATTATGCAGCAACTGTGGTGAAATGCTAAAGGGAAATTGATGGATGCTTCAAAAACATTATGGATTGATAACCAATGGGGGAATGTTGTCCACAGAGCCTTGACACTGAATAAGTCCATATTCCTGAACTAATCTTTCAGGCAGAATAAAGGATTAGAAAAACAATTGAATTGCAAAAAAAAAAAAATGACTTTCTTGTGACCCTACAATTGTGGATTGTGACTTACATTAACTGTAAAATAATAGACAATTCTTTTGATGAGTTTGTCTGATGAGAGAAAGGAGAGAAATGAGAAAGAGGAGACAGAAGAGAGGAGAGAGGGGGGCTGGTTTGAATGAGAATGGTCCCCATAGGCTCATATGTTTGAATATTTGGTCCCCAGCTAATGGAAGTATTTGGGAAAGACTAGTTGGTGTGACTTTGTTGGAGGAAGTGCGTCACTTGGGGGCTGGGCTTTGAGAGTTCAAAAGCCCACAGCCTTTTCCAGTTAGCTCTTTATGTTTCCTGTTAATGAATCAGGATATAATCTCTCTCTCTCTCTCTCTCTCTCTCTCTCTCTCTCTCTCTCTCTCTCTGTGTGTGTGGTTGTTGT